ATCTCTGACTACTCCACAGGGTGGAAAATCTCTGTGGGAACATCCTTCAGTGGATTGCATGCTGGTAGTAAAATGCATGAAGTACAGAGAGAAAGCCAAGCAGCAAAAGAGGCAGCAGGAAAGACATAAATAGCAGACAACATGGGGAAGATAACACAGAGTAGCCATTAGAAGCGATTGGTCAGGGAGGCCAAAAGAAGATGGTAGTAAATTTTTATTCTCCTCAAAGGGCTATTTTGCAATGGTATTTTGTATCCTAAACAATTTGCTGAAAAAGCAGATACCACATTTTAATGTTCCATGTCAGTTATAGAAAACAATAACACGGGGAAAATAGTGTTCCCAAAGACAAGGTAATATCATCGTGTTTTTATTTGCTATATTTAAATTTTAAAGGGCCCGGCTCTTGAAATAAATTATGGTTAGATTAAATGCTTTTCTAAATGCCAAAGTGATAATGGCCTATTTCTATTTCTTCCTATTATGCCTCAGTTTGATAATGGAAATCTGGGCATGACAATAATCTCATCAGACTTGTTTCTTTCATAAAAGATGTTACCCACAAGGACCCATTCATTCAACAAACACTTTTTGAGCGGTAATCATGGGCATGTAAATAGTCTAGGAGGAGAGACAAACACTAAAAAACAATAATACAGATCACCCTAAAATTATGATCATTTCAAATGCCATAAAGGAAAAGAAAAATTAGGGTGTTTCTCAGAACATGGTATAGAAGGACCCTATCTAGACAGGTGTGTATTGGGAGAGGAAGGAGGGTCGAGAGAAAGTCTCCCTGAGTAAGTTATGCTTGAGGAGACCAAGAATAGTGAGGAATTGGCAGAGTGAAGGCAGTGACGCAAAGAGTCAGGTGCACGTGACTGATCTTACTCTGTTCTTTATAATAACTGGTTTTCTGTCTATGAAGTTAGTACAAAAGAAGCTTAGTGCTGGGTGCATTGGCTCATGCTTGTAATCCCAGCACTTTGGGAGGCCCAGGTGGGTAAATGACGAGGTCAAGAGATCGAGACCTTCCTGGCCAACATGGTGAAACACCAACTCTACTAAAAATACAAAAATTAGCTGGGTGTGGTGGTGTGCGCCTGTAGTCCCAGCTACTTGGGAGGCTGAGGCAGGAGATTGCTTGAACCTGGGAGGCGGAGGTTGCAGTGAGCTGAGATGATGCTACTGCACTCCAGCCTGGAGACAGAGTAAGAAAAAAAAAAAAAAGCAGTTTAATTAATTATGTCTGGTGTGGCCACCTGGAGGAATGCAATGGAAATATAAAAACATTACAAAATGACAATAAGGTACTGGATTGACACAATGTGTGTCTTCTAAAATATCCTCTTTTATCCTGGCAAACAAAGATGTGTGGTAGAATTACAGAAATAGAGGTGGACAGTTTGCCTACTTTTTGTCTTTGAAGCTGCTGGAAGAGGGATGAAGAGTCCATGAATTCGGAAGGGGCAGAAGGTAGCAATGAGGTAATCCTGATTGCTCTCCTTATGGTAGTGCAGTTACCACAGGCTAATGTGGACTTCTTGCTGGACAGATAGGTAATGCATAAAATGCCTTCTAAGGAGGCGGATATAAAAAAACTCAGATGGTAGACATAAAAAAATCCACCTCTAAAGACATTCTGAGGAGAATTCAGCGCTGCTGTCAGAACAAGGGTTTTACATCTATGCAACTTAAAACTATGTGTTATGGATAATTTTAGATATTTATTTTTATTTCAATATGAGGAAGAGGAAACTCAAATGATGTTTTCTGTGTTGATGCTGGATTCTGTATATAGCCTCAGAGTAAGTCTGACATTAAAAGTAAAAATGAGTTAAAATCTCGTGGGTTTATTTATTTATTTTTTTGAAAACCAAACCAAACCAAACCAAACCAAACCAAAACAAAACAAAAAACAAACCAAAACCCCAAACTGTGTGGGAGGCAGTGCTCTGTCTGGGAGATTGGAAGAGAAAACTTTCAGAATGCTCACAGCCCACATTTTCACATGCCGTAAATTCTTGGGGAGGGAATTCTTTGGCAGCCTGACATATATAATTTTCCTCAGAGCAGAAGACTTTATGTGAAAGATTTAAAATCATAATAAGATTTAAAGGTTTGCTCTTTAATTAAGAAAATGGCTAGATATTTTCCTATAGTTTCCTTTCAGAAAATAGGTTTCTTAATTATTTAATGCAGTGGTTACAGTAATGACAGAAAAGCGCAGACTCATCACATACTCATTTAGGAATATGTGTGCTGGTTTAGGTGTGAACCCCAACTGGAAATATGCATAAAGTTATTCTATTTTTATTTGATTATGTGGATTAAATGATGAAATCTCACCAGGATAGTTCTTCTGTAAAAATCATGGCTAGATTGACAGTTCTCAAGTTCAGATATCTCCACTTGAAATGGAAGTAACCAAAAGCAACAGTTCTTCTGTCAACTCTTGATTATTAGTGTGTAAATTATGCATGAATGTTACATTGACTGGCAAAGGTCAATAAGAACACTTCATTAGGGAGCCCAGGTGGTTGAGTTATACCAGCTTGATGGTGAAGGAGATATGAAAAGTTTAATAATGGTCATAGTTGATATTTATTGAGCATTCTCTATATGTCAGGCAATATTCTAAGTTGATTTCATGTTTTATCTCACTGACTCTTCAAAATAACCCTTTGAAATCTGTGTTATTTTCATCCCTGTTTTACAAGTTAGTGAAAAGGAAAGTAGCAAAAATTATTCGAGGCTTGTAACTGTGCTCAGGCTAGCAAATCACAAATGTGCTATGTGAGAAGGGCAAACATATTTTATGGATTCTATTACTTTCAAGACATACCTAATTTAAAAAGGTAGCCTAATTTGTCCCCATTCAAGCACTTTTTTTCTTAGTGAAACAAAATTTTGTGCTATTAGAAACTAAACTTTGTTGGTCAGTACTCGCAGAGCAGTCCCAGGGGGTTACTTTTGTTATCTTGTCTTGGCATCGTCAGTTTGTAAGCAAATTATTCTTTTCATTTTTCCTTTTCTTATCTCCCAAGGTGAGAAATTACAAATAGATTTTTAAAAATCCCCTTACAGGTATATGGTATGCAGTAGCATGTCTCAAATGTATTCAACAGTCAACTCCCTCCGTCTTTCTGGGGAGAATTTTGTGCAGTAAATGTTTTCCAAAACACACTTCGATAAATGCTACTGTGTGTTTACTATAAGCATATTTTGCCTCCTCTTTTTCTTCCAGTCACTATAGTCTGCATATTATCTTTAAAGTTTTCATAATTTTGAATCCCTGACCTCTTTTCAGATCATGGCTTCCCAACAATTGACATTACAGACAATTTCTGACTCCTCTTGGAATATTTTCCTTTCCTTTATACGTTTCCAGAATACCATTTCTTTCTGGTTTTCTTTCTGCTCCTATGTCTTCTCTTCTCAGTTTTCTTTATTAACTTGTCTTTCTCTAATTCTTAGATGTTAGTGTCCCCCAAGCTTCCATCCTTGACTCTCTTCTATCTCAATGTTATATTCCAGTTGCTTCATTAAACTGCCACACTCATTCTTAATTTGTACCTTCCCCAATATCTTTAGCAATAATGAATTACTTTTCATTTTCTCTGCCAAAGGCACTTTATTTATCCATAGTGAAACACATACCATATTGCAGATGTCTGCCTTCTAACTGGCCTCTTTGTCAAGATGTGGCCAGCTCTGTTGTAGTTAGTACTAGTTATCAGAAAAAAAGTTTACATCTCACTCATGCAAGAATCTGCTGCAAATCTAGGCAACTCTCAAGGACAACTGTCTGCTGGTCTGTTCAGTGAGTCAGAGATCTAGGCAACCTCAAATGTGAAACTCTGCCTTCTCAATACAAGGACTGTTTTCAGATTTCCGTGGCAGAAGAGAGGCAGAGTAGAAACTGAGTAGGGGCTTCTACTGCCTGAGCGTGAAGTGACACAGACGTGTGCTATTCACATTTCATTGAACAGAACTAATGATAGGGTTTTGCCTTTTGACAGTAAGATTGGAAGTTTAGTTATACATGTGCCCAGGAAAGAAAGAACTATTGTTGAAAAGCTTATCACAGGGGTTGTATCATAAATATATCCCCAGTACTTGGCACAGAGTTTAACAATAGATGTTCAATAAATGTTTCATCAATTGAATCTAATCTAGTTGAAACTTGAGTCATTTTACTGATGGAGGAACTAAAGCCCTCCAAAGAAAAGTGACTTTCCTCAAATTATTCAGATATTTGCACAGCTAGAGCAAGAATCTGGGTCTTTTTGCTTCTAGGTTCAGGGGTTCAGGGGTGCCCTCAGCTCCCCTGAGAGGATGTTTCTCCAGCTTCTTGGTCTCCTGCTGTCTCAAGAATGAGAGAGGGGACCACGGCCCAGTGCACTCGTGAGATAAATACCAGACCCCAAAAGTGTTTGCAGAAAGTGATTTATTTAGAGAGAGAAAGAGAGAAGCAGGAGAAGAAGATAGAAAGCTTCCCCACTGGGTGGAAGGGGATCCCAGAGTGGGAAAATCTAGGAGGGGAAAGAGAGCTCCCACTGTGTGGGAGGGGATTCCAGAGAACTGGAAATCTGGTGTGGGTGAAGGAGCAGGGGAATTTATCCTGAGAGAAATTCCCACCTCCTCAAGTTCCCCTGGCCAATGAAAGGAGTTCCTTTAAGCTTCCACTCGGGTGAGTGACCTTTAGCTTCTTCCTGTGCCCGCAAAATTCAAACATAAACTGTTAAATTTCCCGGATGAAGACGGATGGGAGGGGGAGAAAACATGGCGCTGGGAAGTTCTTGCCCTAGAAACGACGCCCTTTGTGGACCAAGAAAGAGAAAAATCCCTCATTTTGTTCTTTTTACTATATCAGATATTCATGGAAGTGTTTGTTCTATCAGAATTGTGTGATTTTGTTGGGTTGCCCATTATTACCATTAAGGCTATGAGTTTTGTTTGCTGGTATTTGTTAGCTTGCTTTACATTTTTGCTTACACAGTTAACAGAGATATGGCATGAGCATATATTGGAAAAATGATTCACATAACAATAGAAAAAGTAAGTGTAATTACCAGCTTCTTGGCAGGCAGCATCAATAATTCTTTTTCGGTTCCTAAATAGCCCACATAATATTGTCTCATATTGACCAATATTGTCTCATTTGCTAGATGGTGTTTAGTTGCATAGCAAATAATTTTACTGATAGAAAATTAAAGGAAGATTGAAAAAAAAAAAAAAACACAAAGTATTATCACCCATTCTTACTTCGTTTTTTTTTTTTTTTTTTTTTTGGTGAGTTGGGGTCTTGCTCTGTCACCCAGGCTGGAGTACAATAGCACGATCTCGGCTCATTGCAACATCTGCCTCCCAGGTTCAAGTGATTTCCCTGCCTCAGCCTCCTGATTAGCTGGGATTATAGGTACCCACCACCATGCCCAGCTATTTTTTTTTTTTTTTTTTTTTGTATTTTTAGTAGAGATGGAGTTTCTCCAGTTTGGCCTGGCTGGTCTTAAACTCTTGACCTCAGGTGATCCACCCACCTTGGCCTCCTTCAGTGCTGGGATTACAGGGGTGAGCCACCATGCCCACCCCCATTCTTACTTCTTATTTCCTTACTGTAGTTTTTGGAATGGTTAATTCTGTGTATTTGCTTAGCAATTTGTGGCTCTATTTTCCCATTTTACCCTTACTAACTTTTTAAGTAGTAGGTAGGGATTCTCTTAGTGCTGTCTGTGGAAATATTGCAGTCCTATGGCTACTATAATATCTTTTTTGGAAACCTTATTTATTTGCTTATTTGCTTACTACCTCAGGGTTCTCCTCAAAACTCCATTGAGGTTCTTTCTTAAGGTGTACCTCTACAGGTAATATTCCACTTGAACATATAAACTTTAATGTAATATTTCTAAAATAAACTCATGATCTTCTTCCCTGCTCTAAAGCTTCCTCAAACAAATAAACAAACTGGCAGAGACTGTTACCTGTAGCATGTGGCTAATTTCTAGTCAGAGAATATGAACAGGACTTATGGGTATTTCTTCTCTGTTTGGCCTATGTCATTTTTCTGGCCAACAAACAAACAAATAAGCCAAATACAACAATAAAGATTAAAAAACAAAACAAAAAAAATAATAAAAAAAACCCTTCCTAGTTTCCGCTTGGCTGGAGCAGACGGTGCCAAGTTTGGAAGCCATATTGTTGAAAGTGGCAGAGTGTTTTATCAACTTGACTTCTTCAAGGACTATGGGGAAAGAGTCCTATGACTCTCCTAGACTGTTCAGAGAGCAAGAAATAAACTTATTCAATGTTGAGTCATTGTTTGAGCCTATTGTACCTCAGAATATTTTGATACAGAAACCTTAGTTTGTATATCTGTGAAATGGGAATAACAACTACCTTACTTTGAGAGCTAAATGAGATAATATAAATAAATAAAGCACTTACTTTAACGCATGACTCATAAAATGGATATGACAAATTTTAGTCTATTCCCTTCCTTCCTTCTTCATATAGATATGATAAAATACAATCCTTTTAATTCCATTCAGAAACTTCTGAATCCACGACTCCTCTTTCTTGACAGAGAGATAGTGGTTATGAGATTGAAACTCTGTAAATTTCCCATTGCCAAATCTACACATAGACACAGATCTAAATCCACATTCTTTTCCCTTTCTCCTGTTCCAGTACTATTCTTTCTGCTGTTTCATATTAGCCAGTATTTATTTAAGTGATTAGCACATGCCAGGTAACATGCAAAGCTCTGCATGGATTATACAATTAGATCTCATGATGTAGGCATTGTTTCATGTCCCCATATTTCAGATTAAATAACTGGAAGTAGAAAAATTAAGCTGTTTGCTCAAAAAGCAAGTATATTTTCAAACTCATTCTGTTTTCGCCTTTTACCTGCATCTAAACATGCACATATCCCTACAACCTTGAGAAAAACCATTCTGTGAAACTTGGCTTCCTTCTTCATTATCTTCATTTTCTGTCTCAACTTCCTTGCCCTCACTCTTCAACCCTTTACCCTCACCACTCCAATGAAATGTCTTTATTTTCTAGTAACATATCTAGTGGAGCCCTCCTGGTTTTGATTATCATTCAGCCTTTCTGAAATATTTACTTCTGTTGACCACTCTCTCTCCCCCAAAACACTAGAGGAGAGTTCTTTACACACCACTCTACTTTTCTACCCGCTCTTCCTCAGTCTAACTCAGGGGACTCTTTCTTCTAATGGCTCCTTGAATGCTAGTGTTCTTCAGGGTTTTATCCCTAAACTTTTCTTTCTTTTTTTAGATTAAATATTCTGCTTACAATATCATTTACCCCTATAGTTTCAATTGTGATATATGCTACTCATTCCTAGTTTTAAAAAATCTCATCTACACATCTCTTTTGAATTCCATATTCATTTCATCAATTTCAAGTTGAGATTCTAAATTTAGATTCCATTAAAGCACCTCAAATTGAGCATATCTAAAACTGAACTTACAATCTCTCTCTTTCTCTAAAATCTTTCCTTCTAACATTTCTCCCTCTGAACTCTGTCTCAGGAATTTGTCTATTTGTCCAAATTGGAAATTGCACATCATCTTGGGATCTGCTTCTTCATTCATCCCCTAAACAAAGTCAAGTTCTAAGTCTTGTCAATTAATGTGAAATCTTATTTCCTAAATATGCCTCCTAAATGTATGTGATAGGCATTTGTTTTTCAATCATCATTTACTACCAATTGCCATTATCCATGCCTTCTGTGCATCAGAAGCTGATGCAACATTATTTTCCATTCTCAGAAAACAGCATGCCCTTTCATGCTTTGAGAAGTGACATGTCTCTTTCTTCCTTTTCTAGTTGGAAAACTCTTTTTGATAGTCAGCTATGTTACTATTACCAGTGTGAATCTTGGGAAGTGTTTCCTGAGGTCAAGCTGGCTGCTCACCTACTTTCCCTCCTATGCTGCTGTAGAGCTCTGCACCTGCCTCCTTTCTAATATTTATAAAGAGCTTCTAAATCTTTGCCTATTCATTTCTCCTTCTAGACTGTGAGAGCCTTGAGAAAGGAAAGCCTGTTTTTATGGCAGTGAATTGGATCCTTCCCAATTTGAAAATATATCTGCTAAAGGACCAGGACACCAAATGGTCATTTGCCAAATGATCAGATTCACCAGATTTACCAAATTTCTCAATTCATCCCAAATAGTTGTAATAGTTAAAATGATTAGGATGTTTAAATTTGGTCCCCAATGATGAAATATGATTTTCTGGATATTAACTTTTTAAGGTTAAAACGTGAGAAGCTGGCAAAAAAAATCTACAAATGCTAAAGAATCAGTATTGATTTTTAAAATTTCTCAAAGGAAAAGCTGTTTTTCAGCTTTTTTTTTTTTTTTTTGGAGGGGGTTATTTTATATGTAATGGGACTGCTTGTCTACCTCAGATATCGTTTCAGTTATCTCTGAATGTCATTTTCTATTTTGGTAAACCTTATGCATTTTCCTTATTCTTCTGCCATTTCCTCAAATGGTATACCAGCTTTCCTTTTATATCTCTAGTATTTATAGTTTAAGATTAAATTAAACATTAATTAGGAGATTGAACTTTAAATTTAAATTCACAGGCACTAAAATAAATCAGAATTTTAAGTTAAGGTTTAATGAAAGAAAAATTTTAAATTAAATAAAATTTAGAATTAAAATTTAAATTCATTCAAAAGAATCAGAATTAGTTTAAACCATTACATTTCACATGAAACTAAAAGTATGATTTCTATCAAGAAACAATTAAGGTATCTTGACTTGGTTGGTAGTAATTTGCAAAATGACTCTCTATGAAAGCACACACACACCAAAATAACCACAATGGACCAAATGAAGAAGATGAAAAAACTGGATAAAACATAAATAGATTAAAAATACTATAAATAAAAACAGACGAATGCTAAAAGGTTGGCTCAGTACAAAATTATATTTTAAAAGGAATAAAAATCAGTATAAATGAGTAATTTCTACATGACATTTAATTTTACCTATGACAATGTTTTACATTGTCATCAAATCAATATATTTCTCTTAAAATTTATAAAATTATTTTTATTAAATCACTATGTTTGATGGGTTGATTTTCAGGGAATAAGCCATGTGGTGAATTGATTTTTAGTGATATTTCCTTGCTCATTTGCCACCAGCAAATTTCCGAAACTCCCAACTTCTCTAATTTCCGTAACTTCTGTGAAATTGAAGTTTTTCTTCCCCTTTAGATTCTCAGCAGTGTTAAGTGATGGCCGTTTATTCTTTTATAATTGAGGTTTCTTAAGCTTTTCTGGCTGGACGTTTTTCTTTCCCCCTAGACCTGGCCCATGTCTCCATGGGCATAGCCTACATCTGCTCTCAGAGGTCTCAGAAACTCTTCAAATTCAGTGTTTCCAAGACTGAATGTAGGCATATTCTTCTCTTCTATTCCCCGCCATCCCAACTCTCCAAACTTGTTCTTTAGAATTCTCTCTCTCTCTCTTTTTTTCTTGAGACAGAGTGTTGTTCTGTTGCCCAGGTTGGAGTACATTGGTGAGATCTCGGCTCATTGCAACCTCCACCTCCAGGTTCAAGCTATTCTCCTCCCTCAGCCTCCCAAGTAGCTGGGACTACAGGTGTGTGCCACCACACCTGGCTGATTTTTGTACTTTTAGTGAAGATGGGGGTTTCACCATATTGGCCAGGCTGGTCTCAAACTCCTGATCTCAAATGATCCACCCACTTCAGCCTCCCAAAGTGCTGGGATTACAGACGTGAGCCATGAAATTCTCTTTTTCTCTATTTTAGGATATGGTCACCATCCATCCAGTAGCATAAACCAGAAACAAGGAACGAACCTGTCACTGCTTATTCTAGACATTTTTAAAATGCCCGTTCATTTCAATTACCCTGGTTCTAGTCCAAGCTACCATTATTTTTTGTTGAAACCCCATAATAGTCTATTGTGTACATTATAGAATTGTGAGCATTATTTTTTTAAACTTAAAAGCTTAGAACAAAGGCTTGCACCTCGTAAGCATTCACTACATGTATGAATGGACACTGTATTAGTCCGTTTTCATACTGCTGTTAAAGACATACCTAAGATTGGGAAATTTACAAAGAAAAGAAGTTTAATGGAGAGCTCACAGTTCAACGTGGTTGGGGAAGCCTCACAATTATGGCAGAGGCAAGTAGGAGCATGTCACATCTTACATGGATGGCAGCCATCCATACCACTTCCTTGTGATTTGCTTTCATACCTTCTAGCGTGTCCCTCCTCTTGCCCATCTCAGCACCCTGAGACTCTTTTTCCCTCTTGTTCTTCTTTCTTTGTTAAAAATAGACTTTTTTTTTTTTTAGAGCAGCTTTTGGTTCACAGAAAAATTGAGCAGAAAGTACAGGCAATTCCCATATACTCTAGCCTCATATATTCACAGCCTCTTTCACTCTTTCCTTTGTTTTAGCCTCCCATGCTAGATCTATTTTTTTATTATTAGATATAATAAATATGTTAATATTCATACAATATTATTAATATACTAAATATATGTAAGGCAACTGTATTTTCTTCCTTCACATATTACTTTGAGATTAAAATTTTTTATTGTGATTATCTATAGTGTGTCTTCTTTTCCTCATGAAGCATAGAGTTCATGAGGGCAAGGACTGTACTGACTATTTTTCTCTGAGCTCTAATCAAGTGCCCATCATGTAGAAGGTCTTCAATATATATTCATCATTGTGGTTGAATGACATATGTAATATAATTCTACATAAAGTAAAAATTAACCATAATTTTGTTATTTGTTTCTGTCTCAGACTAATTTAGCATTTCAAATTTATAACTATTCTGGTCCAATAGCTCTTAAAATTTAACCACAGATATTATATTAAGTATACTCACACCAATGGAAGTATTTATTCTGTTACATGTTAAATATAATAATTTACTTCTATTTTTACATTTTCTTATGTCTGTTTTCAAACCTGAAGTGTTGGATTTCCTTCTGCAAAAATTTGCTTACCTTACTTGAGAGGCACATACCACCACAAGGGGGCAGAGATAGACAAATATTCAGTCCTTTCGACTGCATTCTCTATCCTGAGAATATTCTTTGACAGAATAAATTTGAGCCATTATTTTTTCCACTAGTTTCTTTTTTCATTTGCCATTCAATTTAAAATCAAAAAGTACTATTATGCTCTTTATACGGTGTATGCCTTTTCAAAGATGAACAGACCTCCACTATATAAATTGTAGGCATTATATAACTTATCTCTTTAGTACATTAAGTAATTTTACAGTTATAAGAATGATATGCTAGACATTGCAGTAAATTGTTCACTGGTAATTTCATAGCTAGTTTCTACTGTCTTATCTTTAGCCTACACCCACATACACACACACATACATAGATATGCTGGTGAGGGCAAAGGAGATTTTCTTTTTTTTTTTTCATAATCATTCAGGGAATAGTTAGGTATTTATGTCACTGAAACTATAAATTAAACATTTGAAAAGAACAGACTTTTAGAGTATAGTTTTATTATTCTATCTTTTATGCACTAAATATATATTCATCTTTACTTGGAGTAAGAAAAACACATGCTGAGCTATATGTGTCTATCTTAACATAGTTCTCATAAACAGCTTGGGTAAGACTTTATGTCAGCAATCTAATTACATAACTGACCTTGTTTTATTGGTTATTCTAAAATTTACTTCTCTGTAAATGTATAGCCCATCCAATTTAGAGTTGAATTTTAAGGACATTAACTTTAATGATAATGAGATAATTTACGTGTGAACAGATGCCTTGGTTAGAAGGAAGTTTAGAGGAGAAAGAGAGCTTTTTATTATAGAAAAACCAATAGCAGAAAGAATGTGATTTTGATTCAGATTAGGAATCACCAAAGATTGGTAACAACACAAGTAGTTCACAGACAAGTCATCTAAACTTGATGCTGAGCATTCAAGGTCATCCATAGACTGGGTCCACACATCCTTGCTGGTCCTTTTATCTTATCTCCACCCACCCTGAATTCTATCCACCTGGACCACTTGCCTTACTGGTAACAAGTCACACTTTTCCGTGCTTCTATGTCTTGGCCCTTGCCTGCTTTCCTAATCTGGAATAACACCTCTCCACATCCCCCTTGAGTTTTCCCCCAGGTAATGTAAATTACTGAGCATATCTGTCGTATTCTAATTTCTTGAGGTCGTGGAAGATAATACTAACAGACCACAATATTTTCTCCAATCTTACTAAATGTAGCCTCAGTATCCTTCTCAGTACAGCTTCTAAGAATAACTCAGATACCTATACCAATTAATTACTGATGGTTTATATGATAGTTGCCATCTTGGTGTGACTTAGCCCAAATTGGTGGCTAGTTAAGTGAGACCAGGATTGGGTGGCTTTGATGAATGTAATTTCGACTTGAACATGAAGATGCTTATAGAACAGTGTTCCTTCCTCTGAGCATGGCTATAGAAGAACAAATCAGTTAGTCTGAAGGTAAGAATATAAAGCAACTTAAAATGTTATATGATTTTATTTATCTAAGTCAAACTGAATTATTATATCCATCCATAAGCACCATAGAAGGGTCATGTTTATTTTGTTTATCACCATATCCCCAGCATTTAGCCAAGGGTGTGATATATATCAGGTACTCAATAATATTTGCTGGTTGAATGAACTAATAGTGACTAATGGCCAATATTGTATTTCATGCCACACCATTTTCTCCTTTAAATGAGGTAGATTTGCACTCTAAGCTGGTCACTGCTCTGGAGAAAGTGTTCCCAGAGAAGCGAAAGGGAAAGGTTTTTGAAGGTCAATACATAACCTTTTTGAAGGTAGCAACAGAAAGATACCAGCAGTAAAAGTTGGGAAACCCCTGTGAGTGCTTTATCTATTCTGCTTCATTTCTAAGTATCAAAGAATCATATAATTTAAGGAGTTTGGAACAAAGAGAGATTTATCCTGAGTCAATATGGATTCTATTAAATGGGATCTAAAGTATTTAGGCATCAGCACTGTTCTGAAACCCAATCTTTGGGAAGGTTTAGTTCACTCTTAAATTTTTGAGGGGAAATATTTGAAAATCTTCCAAGAACATTTAATGTGATTTACATTTCTAAAGGTCGGTTAAGTCCCACATTAATTCCTCTTATACACTGGTTTCCTAAACTGAGAATAGAAAACTGAAAACTTATTATTCATATGACCGCAGGAAAGATGAGCAACTTTAGGTTTAAAAACTTGAGTTGTAGAAGTCAATGGCCTCTGGACCATCTGTCTCATTTTAAAAAATGTAGCTTTTATTTTAGATACAGGGGGTACATGTGCAGGTCCGTTATGTGTGTATATTGCACTCAAGTCATGAGCATGGTACCCAATAGGTAGTTTTTCAATCTATGACAACCTCTGTCCCTCCCCTCTTTAGTAGTCCATAGTTTGTTATTCCCTTGTTTATGTCTATGTGTGCTCAATGCTTTGTTCCCACGTGTAAGTGAGAACATGTAGTATTTGGTTTTCTGTTCCTGCATTAGTTCATTTAGGTTTTGGCTTCCAGCTCCATCCATGGTGCTGCAAAGGACATGATTTCATTCCTTTTTATGGCTGTATAGTATTCCATGATGTATAATGTACATTTTCTTCATCCAATCCACCACTGTGGGACACCTAGGTTGATCCTATGTCTTTGTTATAGTGAACAGTGCATTGATGAACATGTGAATGTATATGTCTTTTTGGCATGATGATCTATTTTCCTTTGGGTATACCTCAGTAATGAGATTGCTGGGTTTAATGGTAACTCTGTTTTAACAGCTACCATAAGCTCTTTGAGAAATATCTAAACTGCTTTCCACAATGGCTGAAATAATCTACAATTCAACCAGTAGTATAAACATTCCTTTTTCTCCACAAACTCACTAGCATCTGTTGTTTTTTGACTTTTTGATAATAGACATTTTGACTGGTATGAGATGGTAGCTCATTGTGGTTTTGATTTACACTTCTCTGATGATTAGTGATAATAAGCATTTTTTTCACATGTTTGTTGGCCACTTGTATGTCTTCTATTGAGAAGTGTCTGTATATGTCCTTCATCCTTTTTTTAAAAAATGGTGTTATTTGATATTTTCTTAAGTTCCTTATAGATTATGGATTTTAGACTGTTGTTGGATGCATACTTTGCATATATTTTCTCCCATTCTGTAGGTTGTCTGTTTTTGCTATTGACAGTTTATTTTGCTGTTCAGAATCTCTTAACTGGATTTCACCTGTAATTTTTTGTTTTTATTGCAATTGCTTTTGGTAACTTAGCCAAAAATTATTTGCCAAGACTGATGCTCAGAAGGGTATTTCCTAGGTTTTCTTTTAGGATTTTTATAGTTTGATGTCTTACATTTAAATCTTTAATCCATCTGTAGTTAATTTTTATATATAGTAAAAGGTGAAGGTCAAATTTCATTCTTCTACATGTGGCTAACCAGTTATTTCATCACTATTTATTGAATAAGGAGGACTTTTCCCATTGCTTGTTTTTGTTTGCCTCATTAAAGGTCAGATGGCTGTAAACGTATGGCTTTGTTTCTAAGTTTTCTATTCTGTTCCATTGGTTTAAGTGTCTATTTTTGTACCAATGCTGTTCTAGGTTATTTTATCATTTTAGTATTGTTTGAAGTCAAGCAGTGTGATGCCTCTGGCTTTGTACATTTTGCTTAGGATTGCTTTGGCTATTGAGGCTTTTATTTGGTTCCATATGGATTTAGAATAGCTTTTTCTAATTCTATTAAAAATGATATTGGTAATTTGATAAGAATAGTGTTGAATCTGCAAATCTCTCTCCAGTGTTGTTTTGTGCGATATTACCATTTTAATGACATTGATATTTTTAATCCATGAGCATGACATGTTTTTCCATTTATTCGTATCATCTGATTTCTATCAGCAGTGGTTTGTAGTTCTCCTTATGGAGAACTTTCACCTCCTTGGTTGGCTGTATTCCTAGGTATTTCATTTTCTTTGTGGTTACTGTAAATGTGATCATGTTTTTGATTTGACTTACAATCTGGACATTACTGGTGTATGGATATGCTAGGTGAATTTTGTGCTCTGAAATTGTACTAAAATCATTTACCAGTTCTAGTATATTTTTGGCAGAATCTTTAGGGTTTTCTAGATATAGAATCATACCATCAATGAAGAGAGATAGTTGACTTTTTCTTTTTCCAGTGAATGCTGTTTATTTCTTTCTCTTGCCTGATTACTCTGGCTAGAGCTTCCTGTCTCATTTGTTGATGCATTAAGGGAAAAGTAACTAAATGCTTCAGAGCAAAGTAATAGCATATATTAGCAAATTCCTTAGATTTGTCTTTTCTAGAGCTGTCCAAACAGAACTTTTGCCGTGATGACAATGTTCTGTATTTATTTTATCCTATATAATAGCCACTGGCTACACATGGCCACTGGGCACTTGAAAATGTGGCTAGTACAATGGAGGAACTGAATTTCTATATGTTATTTAAAATAAGCAGTTACAATTTATATTTAAATGGCCACATGTGCCTACTGGCTACTGTATTAGAGTGCAGGTCGAAAGGAATATATGCTTAATTAAAAAGCAGTTTTTAAATTAAAATTTAAAAAAATTAAAATTATAATTTTTGAGATGAGCTGTTGATAATGTCAACAAATTAGATATCAGGCTGAAAGCAGAAGAAGAAAGTCGAGTTGTAGTATGGGAATTTTAAAAGGCAGCAAGCTTAGCACTTACCATGTGTTAGACCCTGTGCTAGACCCATTCACATTTATCATCTCAGCAAATGCTCATAAAAACTCTGCAAGTAAATATTTATCTCCACTTTGTAAGCAAGAAGTCAGATATTACAATTTCCTCTGTGAAAACAAGATTAGAACATATACCCATCTGGTTTAAAAAGCCATACTGTACATTTTGAGTGGGCAAAAGAAAAATATCCAGGTACAATTATGAATGTGCATCTTAGGAGGTGAGGTCAGGCCTGGAGTGAGTGTCACATCCAAATATTGCTCAGAAATTTCTTTAATTCTTCATTGCTGAGGCTAGGCTTGGTTTCTGATGATGTAATTAATAGTCCTGAAGCTAAAGATGGGATCATGTGGTCCAAGTTGGGTAGAAGAAGGTGAGTTTGGAGACCAGCCAACGAAAGAGAGCACTGATGTTCTGGGTGACCATCACTCTCACAGACATTGCCTCCCAGGCACCTGAGCAACAATTGCTGGCCTTGCTGTTTCCATTAGAGGGGCTGACTTATGACAGCATTCTCAGCTATAATTTTATGCTTGGATACTTTGATGTTATTTTTCTCTCCAATAATGCTCTGTGACCTGATTTTCCCCTCATTTGTCAGATAGCTTATGTGATGTGGCATTCACTTGGTAATTGCAATTCAGGGGCATTTCCCTGCAGTAATGTGAAGAGAAACAGCTTCTGTAACACCAGAAAGCATGCTTCCTTATCATAAGGTGAATGGAGATACGCTGCCACGTGTTGACTGTGTCATTAGATCTAATGCTAATACATGCATATGTCTTGCTGAGTCTTTCAATAACCTGTATTTGATATCCTTAGAATAAAAAGATATCAGCATTTTTCCTGGCTGGTCATTGGAGTTCATGCTACAAACGAATGATACTTCGCTAGCTCAACTATTAAGTGAAGGAGTCTGCTTACTGAAGGCTGAATATCTTGGCTTAAGAACTTGGCTCTCCCAATGATTGAAATGAATTAGATACGAATGATGGCCTGGGTATCTATATTGGGTTAGCCTTGTGTCTTGCTATCCTGGGATTCTTTTAGAACTAGGAATATAATACCAGAATTCTTTGATAAAGATTCAAATTCTGAGACAAAGCAATCTGATTCAGCTAGTTTAGGACTGGGGATAAGGCTCATTTAAAATGGGGCATGAGTGGTCAGAGGTATCTGTGACAGCCAAGTATGAGTCTGTTGCAAGATGGGGAAACTTTTAACAGATGAACAGTCCATGGAAGTGGTGGTCTAGGAGGCAGCATGCTAGCCAGAAATCCATTTCTGGAATGAAACGGATTTCTGAAGTGAAGATAAAATGATGCTTCAATCTTCAGGGCCAAAGCAGGAGGGGAGCTGGAGAAGGAATACAGAATCAGAAACAAGATTGTTACAAGGTGGTTAGGGGGCAAATTGCTTGAATTGCAGGCTGCTTACATTTGAGCAAATGTGCTTCCTGGAGCTGGGGGCTTGCTCTTTAAAAAAGACAGTTCTGTAGGACAGGTAACTTGCCAAAGTCCAGATTGACTTCAGTGCTGGGAGATATAGATACATTTTGCAAAATCCAAATGTCCAAGCTGAAAAAGAGCCCGGTTCCCAGGAAATGATTTTTCTTTATTTGATATTCTCAAGTATCAACCATGTATTAGACAATATGTAGCTTTAGAGAGTTGCATGAAATTTCTGTGAGTACAGCAAAATTGCTGGGTGTCTCCAAAAATAAGAAGAAATCTAGCTGAAAATCATTTTCTCTCCCCCTCTTCCCTTTATAAAGAAGGCTAATAAATCTCTCACTTTTCAAAATGTATCTCAGCTTTGGAATGGAGAAGTGAAATGTTTTTCTATTCGAAAGGAAGGCTATCTAAACACTGTAGTGTGTGATTCTATTAAAGCCTGCTTGATTTAAACTCTGAGTGTACCTAAAACTCTCAATTCTACTTCACATGTGGCAAAAGGTCAAATACAGTCTTGCTCTACCTTCCAATCATTTACACTCCCTGTCTACCTTATAGGGGAAGACAGACTATTATTAGTCTGTGGAAAAGGCATACTGGGATTCATGTAATATAGAGAGATATTTTTCTCTTATTTTTTGCCAAGACGATGGTGGTGGTGTCTGCAGTACACAGCTGACATAGAGCTGAAGCTAGATGTGGTCCTATAATAGGCAGGACAAGAAGCAGAAAGGCTGCTCTTCTTGTCCATAAATATCAGCTCACATTTCTGTTTCTCCTTTTCTATAAAATTCTCTATACATGTATGAAGGCGTGTCAACACATGCAAATACATGTAAAATACATAATAGGGTTGTGAGTTAATTCAAATTCATTCATTCTTTCAATATACATGTATGTTGGGCACATTATATGAGCAAGTGCTGCCACATGAATTGTCTCTAGACATTCATTTGCTTATTTTTCTGTTCCTTCTTAGTTTAAGCAGATAACTTTTGTTTTTCGCTTCAAAGATGTTTGCAGAATGGAAGGTGGAAACTTTTTGAAAGCAAACTTTCTGCTATTCCAAAAGATTGTACTCACTGCAAGTGGAGAAGTGAGGACAGGAGTGTCATCTTCAGAGTCACCAAGTCAGGTTGGAGATGCCTCAGACTGGGGTGGGGGCAGAGGCTGCTGGGTCCACAAGTAGAATAGCCCTGCCCTTGGCAGCATCCTTGGGCAATGGCAAACTAGAAATGCACCCAGAGAGGCTGCTCCCAAATCATGGAGTTCCCACTCCCAGTAAACATTCCCAGACCCCAAGCATTGTACAGAGCTGACAGGGGATAGGAAAGCCCATGTGAGGATGAAAAATGGGCTTCTCTGATGTAAGCAGTGAGAACCACAAACAGGATGGACCTCGCAGTGCGTGCTTTAGGACAGAATAAGGTACACCACTCAGATTTTTCATGACACTAAGTAAATGGGAGGGTGGAGCCCAGTAATCACTGGGATTAAAACTCTCTTGAGATTGGTGGGATTTAGATTTAAACTGATTAAGCAGGGATTAGATTTAAGATAATTTTGAAAAAAAAAAAAAAGTGCCTTATTTCTTACACATCTGGATTGGTGGATTAAATTTACTTGCTATCATTATAGCAAGGAACACAAATATTAAACAAATAGCTACTATTGTGAATTGACCTATAAAGGAATAATTGTGGGTACTTTGGAAGCAGAACTGTGGAGCCTAATTAAAAATATGTTTATGAGTAGAATGGATGGGGAGGAAATTATTCTCTGAACGAATAACATTTTAGCTGTTATCTATTGGATAAATTAAAGTTAGTTAGCTTAGTTGAAATTAAAGGGTGATCCAGGCAATGAACAATGGGTGGAAATATCCAGAGGTGGCAAAGAACTTGTGTGGCCAAGACATGAGAGCAAGGGGATAAATGACTGGTCAGACAGAGGCAAAGAGGAGGCTGGGTTCAGGTCACACCAGACCTACCAGCTCACATTAGACAGTGATCATAAGTGATGGAGAAAACCATGAAAGGATTTTAAGTAAAGAGTGAAATAAAAGATTTGAGATTTCCTAAGATGAACTTTTCTTGCAGGTTAGAGAATAAATTAGGCAAGTGACAAAGAGGATTTGGAGGACCAGCTAGTAGGTCTTGTGATTATAACTGACTGAACAAGCTTGTGGCAAGAAGGATGGTGAGAAGTTTATAATGAAGAGATTTTGGACAATTGTATCAATAGACCCCAGTGATTAATGTTGTGGTGAGGGGTGTGAGATAGAGGGGGAAAAGTGAGGATGCTTTATAAACTGCCAACATAAGCAATTAAAATAGAGGAGGTAAAATTATGGATTAAGAAACACTAGTTGAAGAACACATTTTGGGTTTGCTTTTGAACACAATGAATTTGATCTGCTTGGGAGATATTTAAGCTTTTACATGCATGTTGTAAGATATATACTATTGAACATAATAATAATTAATTTTTATACTAAAGGTACTTATAATGAATACTGTTATAATAATAATTTAAAGGTAGATGGTTTTATTTAATTAGATGTATGAAAAAGACATTTTAAAAAGGAATTAGAATGGACATGAACTGGTATTTTTGATAAAGTTAACAACTTTGACCAAGAAACTAACCAAAGGTAAATGATGACAAAAATAAAATTTCTTCTCATTTCCAGATGAAAACAAGAAGCTGATGGAAGACACATTCTGAACTGGCTAACACAACACTCTGAAACTGGAGGATATCAACTGATAAGGTATTAAGTTCTTCCTCAGTTTTAAATACACTGGGCTCATAAATTATTAACATAAACAATGGATGCCTCATCAAATTACCAGGAAGATAGCTAGATGTGTACCCCTCTACAAGTGCCGACCCCTCCAAGCACATCTTTCACCTGGAACTGTGAACTGAATAGATAAATGTGTTGGTTAAAAAGGTCTTTACATCTTTGAATTGTAATGATCATGATTAGTTGCTGAGCTTGCCACCTCCCTGCCCTCTACCTTCCAAGAGTTATCATTACAAAGATAGCCATTTGGCTTCTGGCATAAGCTTTATCATAAAGCTTGACCCAGATTGAAGGATCCAGACGATTTCTTGTTTTCTTTTTTTTTTTTTTTTCTTAGTTTTTTGTTTGTTTTGTTTTATTTTGTTTTCTGTTTTCTTTCTTTCCTTCTTTCTTTCTTTCTTTTTCTTTCTTTCTTTCTTTTCCTTTCCTTTTTTTTTTTTTTTGATCCAGGCAATTTCTAACCAGACTTTTATTTTCTTCATTCATAGGATCATGGTAAAGGCTTAGTATTTATCAAACCATAGCTTTTCCCCAAAGGAAAGGGAAATGGGAATAGACTAGCTGCTTCAGTAAGCGAAATAGGTGGATAACAAATAAGAGATTAATGGTAGTTTATCAGCGTCTCTTTGCTAAAACTCCTTGTCAAAAGGCTAAGGAAAGACATTGAGAGAAGGCAGGTGTGGGTGCTTTGAGAGTCTATTAGATCTGTGTTCTTGAAGCATCTTAATGATGCTTTTCTTAATGATGCTTATCTTTCTCTACCTTCTAGTATAATTAAAAGGCAAGTTTTCTTCTTGTGAGGCAGTAAGTATAAACTTCAAATAGCAGATGGAAAATAGTTAAAGGGCTTCCATGTGCCTACCCCAGCCAGCAGCATTTTGTCATGATTGATTGCAAGGCTGGTTGCAACAGCTGGGAGGCATTTGGCCAGGAGGACCTTTTGAAATGGAAACAAGAAAAGACTATAGAGAAGGGAGCCTATTGTTCCCAGCAGCATGGTCTTCTTTGTGGCCTTGTTCCTGGCAACTCTTCTTTCCAATATAACACCAGTGGAGCAAAAGGCCTCAAATTGGGCGTAATGGGTAGTAAAGTTCAGTCACAGGGCAGTTCAGATCTGCCAGACTGCGAATGTGTAATGGGCTTTGTGATCCAAGAAGTGATGGAGAGACTAGACTGCTTCATAATTATTGTCAGGGATGCTCTGGAAGAACAATGTGCTGGTCACAATGGGAGCCATAAGGTTAGATCACTTGCCTGGGTTTAACTATTCAATGGGTGATTGTGAGGATGGACTGAGACAATACGTTCAGGATGGTTGGGTCACTGTAAATACTCAATAAGTGTAAGCTGTTACCATGGTAAGTCAGGCTGGTTAACAGGGCCAGAGAGGAGATATGACTGATAAGATAATTTAAACTAGCTATCTATAGGACAGTAATCACATTTGTTACACTCAGGCACTTTGCTAGGCATTTTACGTATCCCCCTTCACTCTCATATCAAGTATATGCAGCATTATCAACATCTCCTCATGATGGAGGGAGAAATTACAGACTCAGGGAAGCTAAAACCATTTTCTCAAGGACACACAGCTTGTCAATGCTGGAGCCAGATTTAGAAGTTTGTCTGATTATGTGCTTCTTCCAAGGGCTAGTTTTTTACAGTACGAAGAGATCCGTGTTAGAGAGAAATGGGTTACAAGGAGAAAGGTAGAACTTTGGAACATAAGGAGAGAGAAATATAAAAATATCAGTGCAGGGTCCCGTCTTTGGTGCTCCCAGGACACTGTGTGTGAGCTTCCGTGGCCTATTCCATACCGTGTTATACTTATGGATTTATTTGGGTGGACTTTCTAGACTGTACACATCTGAAGAGTAGGGAGATAACTTTCTTTCCCCAGTGCCTTGTACAGTACCTGACACTTAGTAGGTACACATATATGTTAAATGAGCTAATTTATTAAACCAAGCCCAGAATTGTATGGTATAGCATGCAAACAAAAGACAAGATGAATTAATGGCATTGCAGCAGAGATTTCTGTACAGCAAAGCAGTCTGTATTATAAAGAAATCAGTTTGGGTCAACCAGTTAAACAGAGTGATATACACAGTAACTTGAATGCAGATTCATTTGTGCTCATCTTTGAATTCCATGAATTCTCAGAAAAATGCCTTTCACATTGTAGATAATTACAATTTAAAAAATTGATTTCTAAAACTAAGATGACAGTTTAAATTAATGTATGATATTTGTATCTTGGTAGGAATTAATATTTCCATAGTTGTTGAAATTTAATGTCTTTAAATCTTGATATATGAAATGTATATGCTATTTGTCATTTCAAGGTTCAAGTTCATCTCAAAATCAAATCTAGGCTCTGGATAAAAAGGGAAAAATGGAAAAAAATTCTAAGCCAAATGTTTAGATATTGGAGGAATATTTTGCATGATATAGAAACAGCTTAAAGTATAATATTTGATTTTTAAACCACAAACTCAGTGCTACTATGAACATTACATCTACCTTTGCAAATGGGCAAAACCAGCTACCCAGCATTCCTCTGATAACCTCGGTTAGTTTAGATTTGCAAATACAAATTGAAACAAGACAGAAAGCCCTTGGGATTCTCGGAAGTGGTATTGATAATACTAAGACTCTGGTACTTTTACTGTGCTGGCAAAAAATACTAATAGGGTCAAGCAACTGAGAACTCAATGAGATGAAAACAACCAGGAGTGGGAAGGAGCAGACTGGGGTGAGGGTAGCTGGGAAGTTAGTATCAACTTCCATCTAATTTAGGATTTGGATTAAAAAGCAAAGAAGCTCAAACCTGCTTAAATCATGCTGCCATCTGTTGTTCTGATGTGGCATTTGGAAGAGTAAAAACACATGCTGGAAAATTACCAAGACAAAGAGAAAGTCTGGAATCTCAGTACAGGATTTTCCTTTGTGGCTAAAAGGCTGAGCTGCTTTAGAAACATTTGGATTTCTTTTCTGCCTCATCTGTGCTGCAAGGCATCTCTTTTTAAGCATAGATTTTGCATTCTATATCAGAAGGAACCTCTGTGGATTAATCAGACATCATTTTCCAGGCTTGTCCAGAAGTTACATCATTAAGGAATATAAATACTCGTAGTCATTGATTATCTAACAAGGAAAATTTAAAAAGTCTTGTTTAAGTGGCATATTATTTAATGAGCTGTCAAGTGTTCTCTTTAGCCCCAGTTTCCATGGAAATTATTTAATTCCAAGAAATAGTTCAAAGCATTGAGGGAGATTGCATGTTTTCAGAGCACCTAAGCAGAGAAGCAAAGCAAGAAGGATCTGCATCTTTGAATAGAACATTTTTTTGTGTAGCATGTAGCACATCTGCATTTACACCTTAAAAAAGATTTACAAAAAGCTGGCTAAAATGAAAGACAATTTTAATTGAAAGAACTATTTTTTTGTTTTTTATATGCATGATTCTATTATGGATCAAAGTGGACTTTTTTTAGACATCAAAGGGAAATTATGTGATGCAAAAATATCATAATGTAATACTATTTTCTGTGAACTCCCTGTGTTATAAGAAGAGTTCCTTTCAATTCAAAGGAGTTAAAAGAATTAAACAATTCAAAGGAGTTTAAAAAAATGTTTTAAATTCAATTCAAAGGAGTTAAAAAAATTCTTTTTGGACCAGGCTAGTGGCGGTGGGCATGGTTTAGAATGTGACAGATATCAATGAAAGTACAGTGCCCTCAACTCACAAGCAGCTTAATACCTTTCCTGTGTCACCTACAGTCCATTTTACTATATTCTATATCACCCCCATTTAATTACCATCTCTCAATGGCAGCAGTGCTGAGCCTCATGGTGTGGGAAAATAACTTGAACTTCAGAGCCCGAAGTGCTGGGTTCCACAACTGGCATTGTTTCTCATTAGTTAGGAGGTTGTTGACAAGTTGCTGAATATCTCCAAACCTCAGTTTTCACATTTGTAGAATAAAAACAGCATCAGCTACCACAAAGTTGTAAAATTAAATAAGATACTTAGCAATGCTAATGTCTTAGCAATTCAACCTTTTCCATCAGATAGCTACACATACCATTCTTTACAAAATAGCACTGTCACCAGAGAACATTCAACATCACCATGAAACAGTGACATGGATAATAAACCATTACCTTTCCTTTACTGTATTAATATTCCACAACTATGCAGGAAAAAAAGATGATGTCCCTCATGAATAGTCTGAAGTGAGGAGTTGCCACTGCAAATGTGTAGGGCTTCTTTGTCAATGACACTTCATCACAGTGTTAACAAAGTTCAAATAAACACTCATTTTTTTAATGAACTCCCCCCCACACACATGCAAAAGCACTGTCATAATACAAAGACCTCTTTAGATATGGTGCCCAAATTCTCTTTCCCCTCTTTTTTTTTTTTTTTTCCCAGTAACAGCAAGCTGATTTTTGGGTGATAACTGCCTACTGTTATTTGAGATGGATCCAGGTCTAAAAACATTACATACCTAGTTCCCCTGGCCACAGCATTTGATTTGGGTGACCCAATTTGATCTTTCAGCTGGGGCTGCAGGCAGGCAGGGTGGTGTAGGCCTAGAGTCTTGTCCCTCTGAGGAGCCTGAACATGAAGCCCATGGAGGAAAGAAAAGTTAAACATCATGGGTCTTGACTTTTCTTGAGCTCTTGAAGCCTGCATGTGCAAAGCTAAGCCCAGCATGTTTTAGACTTTTCATTGCATGAGCCAAGAAATGATCTTTTTGCTTTAGCAAGTCTGAATTAGTTTCTAATACTTCTAAGTGGAAGGGTTTTGACTAACACTTCCAAAGATGTAGGCCAACTTGGGGATGAGGTAAAATTTAAATTTGGGGTAAGACCATTTTTTTGGTTGCAACCTATTTATGTAGCTATTCCATGCATTGTGTTATTTCTTTAATGCATTTAGGGTAAAATATTCTAGGCTATTACCTTATTTTTGTATTAGAGTTTCAATTTAAGAAGCACAATAGGGTCTTGCATTATGAGGATAGAAACACTATAGAGAATTTTATTTGAAGCACGTACAAAATAATTCTGCATCTGCACCAGAAGAAAGCTCCATAGCTGTGTGGGTGTGGTGTAAATTAGAACATGACGACTGTGTAATTCCAACATGAACTTGAAAAATTCTGGCAGTCCATATTGGAGGCTTTCCTCCCAGACTAGAACGGGTAGACAGTGGTAAAGAGGTCAGATCACAGCAGAATGGGGACAACAAATTAATGGAATTTGTTATCCTATGGGTCCTAT